GAAAGTCTGCTGTTAGAGATCTCTTCAGAATACTGGAGAGCAATAGTGTCACTCTAGAGACTACGGTGTGCCTGACACAGGCCATAGTCTTTGCAATCACTTGCTATGCATCAGAGAGCTCAACAAGAGGATAGAAGAATTGATACCTTTGAGCTGTGGTGCTAGAGAAGAGTATTGAATATACCATGGACTGCTACGAAAATGAACAGATTCATCCTGAAGAGGGTTAAACCAAGCTATTCCTTGGAGACAAAGATTCTGAAGCTTTGTCTGACGTACTCTGGACATGTTGCAAGGAGGGACCAGTCCTTGGAGAAGTACGTCATGCATGGGAGGGCAGAGGGACAGCGCAGCAGAGGAAAGCCCTCTATGAGGTGGATTGATTCAGTGACTGGAGTAATAGGGGTAGGTGTGTCAGAGACAGTGAAATTGGCACAGGGCAGAGCAGGTTTTAGGGCTGTGGTACATAGGGTCGCTATGAGTCGCAAAAAACTCAACAGCACATAACAACAATAACAATAGCCTAGTGGAAAAATACTGTGCTGCAATCCCAAAAGCACACTTTGAATCCACCAGCTGCTCTGCAGGAAAATGAGCAATCTATTCAGTGCAATGTACTGCCTCTGAAAACCCACTGGAAGGTAAGCTATGGGTGGGGTCCAACTCATTTGAGGCTCAGTACCAACACAATTGAGAGTCAGTTCCCACTCAGTGTTACATAAGAACAACCCAACATTCATGCTCCTAAGTTCGTAAAATGGATAGAATCACAAGAATTAATAACCAAAGTTATCTTTCCAGAGAAGGGATCCAAGCAACTGAGATGAGGTGGAAGGGAGCAAAACTTTAACCTAATAGATACAACTTCCTTTTTTAAAACCTTTTCTATTTTTTTAGATATTAAATCATTTATATGTATTTACAATTTTAAAACAAATATAAGATACTTCAAGAAAGGCTTTGTTTTGCTTTGTTTGCTTACGAAAAAAAAATCTTTTGTGGCTATTATAAGTGCTACTTAATAAATATTTCTGGTTCTCCAATGCACATGACAAGATAGTATTTGCCCCCAGTTCACTTTTTAAGAAGATTAATTCAGGGGAGCTCTGGTGGCCTAGTGGCAAGGAGCTGCAACTACAATCCCAGAGGCGCATGGTTCAAATCCACCAGATGCTCTGCCGAGAAAGGAGGGGCAGTCTCCTCCTGTACCAGTCAGATCTGATTTGACGGTATACACACAAAAATAATAAAAATTTAAAAAATGGTTAATTCATTCATTGTTGCACAATTTCCACCTTTCCTCCCCTATGAGCCCCACCCTCAATTCACTTTGCTATGCACTTTATACTCTGGACTAATCATTGTCATACTAATAATGTCTACTCATATATTCCTTTTAATGTGCAACAATGAGTGAATGAAAATCCAACTATTCTGTAAACTTTCCTTAAAATCACAATAGACAAAGATATTGTTCACCAACTTGTTAAGGAAAGTGATATCATTCCCTCTGATCAATGATACATGGAAAGAACAATGTTTTTATATAGAGACAGAAGTTTTAGGAGTCAGAGCGCAAGTCACTAATCTTTTCTCCACCATAACAAAAAACAGAGCTCATATTGGTTGTTGCTCCATCAGCCTGGGTTTGAAAGTGAACTGCAGATGCCAAATGAAAAAGTTAATCGCTTTGAAAGCTACTGAAATTTGGAGGTTGTTCAATATCAAAGCGTAACCTGGTCTCATCTGGCATATTATTATATATAGTTCAGTTCAGGACCATCTGGAATATTGTCGTTATTTTTAGGTGCTGTACTTGATTAATACTCATAATGACCCTTTGAACAACAGATTTTAAATGTGGCCATCTTCACAATGTCTAACAGTCTTAAACCAGTTGTTACAGTCACTGTGTCAATCTGTCTTGTTGAGGTTCTTCTTCTTTTCCCCTGATCCTCCTTATTTCTTATTGTGATGTCTTTTGCTAAGCTTTGGGCCTTCCTAACAACATGTTCAAAGTTTATGTGATGACCAAATGTGTAGCCATAATTGAATGGATTGAGAAATTATGGTACATTCACAAGATGGAATATTATGCAGCACACAGGAACAATGATTTTGTAAAATACTGCCTCACTTTGGAGAGACTAGAGAGTATTATGCTAAGTGAACTAACTTGGTCCTGTAAGGACAAATACTGTATAAAACCATTATTGTAGAATAAGTATGACAATCCAAGGGCGGGGGAAGAAGGGGGTGGATGGACTGGGGAGAGTGTGTTAATCATATGGTTGCACTATCTGATGGGTGGAGGGAGGGGTTAAGGAAATGGGAAAGATCTGGTGTGACAAACAATGTATACAAACTTTGGAAATAAACCAGCATGTATTTTATAAAAAAGTTTATGTGATTTTAAGTTTCACTATCCTTACTTCTAAGGAGCATCATGGTCCTACTTCTTACAAAACGTATTTGGAGGTTTCTTTTGTCTGTCCATGAGGTAGGCAGTACTTTTACCAGCACCACAATTCAAAGGTATCTATTCTTATGTTAACCCTATTCATCGTACAACTTTCAGAAGGATATGAAGCAGTTGAAAATATCATGAGTTGGATCAGGCACAACTTAGTCTATAAATTGATATTATTGCCCTTTAGTACTTTGGAGAGTTCCTTAGCAGTAGATTTTCCTTATGCAACACGTCTTTTGATTTCTTGACTGCTTTTACAATGAGTGTTGACTATGAATCTAAATAAAATTAACTCATTGATGACATCAATGTTTTGTCATTCTAACATGGTATTGCCTCTTGGTCCAGTGGTGAGGATTTTAGTTCTCTTGATGTTGAGATACAATCCATATTGAAGTCTATATTCTTTGATGTTTTGTAGGAAGTGCTTCAAAACCTCTTCACTTTCAAGAAATGAAGTTCTGTTTCTGCATAACACAGATTGTTGACAAGTCTTCCTCCAATCCTGATGCCACATTTTCCTTCATATCGTCCAATTTCTCAAATTATTTGCTCAAAATACAGCTTGAATAGGTATGGAGAAAGAACAGCACCCTGACTCAAATTTCTCCTAATTTTAAAAGTGTTCTCTTGTACTGTTTAGGAAACCACTTTTCGGTCTATGTGTAAGTTTTGCAGGAGCACAATTAAATGTTTTGGAATCCCTATTTTTTTCAATGTTATCAATAATTTTTTATGATCTGTATATCCAAATTCTATTGCATAGTCAATAAAACACAAATAAAGGTTTATCTTTCTGGCATTCTCTGCTGTCAATCAAGATCTATCTGGCATCAGCTATTATATCCCTTGTGTCCTGCCTTTCTTGAAGTATCTGCAGTTTCGCATGGAAATGTATAACTTGACTGATGCCCAAAATGTTCATAGTTTTATCTACTTTATTTTTATTCCAGACTCAACCTAATGGCCTCTTATTCAACTCACTGCAGTTAAGTTGAAACGAACTCATTGCTGATCCCCCATTGAGTTTCCAAAGCTGTAAATTTCATAGGATCGAGTTGTTCATCTTTCTTTCATGGAGCTGCTGGTGAATGAAACCACCAGAGGAACACAGCCTTGGGTTAGCAGTGCAATCCTGAGGTACTATACCCCCAGCTCCCTAAAAGTCTGTAGCTTTTTACTATATTTAAAAGAATCTGAATGATTAGATGATGCCTACCTGTATAACATTTTCCTACTCCAACCATATTAGTATGGTACCCGATTTACTAAGCTCCAGTCAAAAAGACTTCTGAAACATTCTTACATACTTCTAACCTCTACAGTTAACTGGTTATTGTGGGGTGTGTGTGTCTGTGTGTGTGTGTGTGTGTGTGTGTGTGTGTGTGTGTGTGCTTCTTCTTAAAAATGTTCTATTCTTTCTTCCGTTAATCACATTTCTAGTTCAATTTAGACCTTTCCTTTTTCATTTTTACTTTCTCCATTTAACTTGTTAGCCAATTCACAATTATTCTTTCATACTAATCTAGCATTCATTTAATGGCATGTTTATAATTTGTAACTACTTATTATTTTTCAGACTTTTTTACTTTATTTCTTCCTCACACTGGATAATTCTCAATGAAATTTATTTGAATATTCTTATCTAACTGCTCTATATCTTATATCTATGACAGGAAGCAAATTCATGAAAGAATAAGCAATCTTCTCTAATGTATTGGCTCTGATGTGAGATTTAAATGTTATTGAGGAAAATACTGTCATAAATTTGGCATAATTACATAAACTTTGTCTTATTGACCAATAATTGTAAAATGGTAATATGAGGATATTTTATTGTAAACTGAAAAAGTTATGAAAAATCTAGTTGCTAGGACAGGGAGTATGTCAAAAGAATTTCTTTTGTTAAAGATGAAGCAACTGAGTTTTTAAATTAGTTTTGTTTCACCACCTGTAAATTGAAGGAATAGATAACTTGCTAGTTTTCTAATATCCAACATTGCAGAATTGTATTTCCTAACTTTTCTTAGAACTAGAGATAGAGGACAACTATAGTGTTGCTACATCTTACTTGCATACATAAAAAGTACAATCCTAGATGTAAAGATAAAATCCTATCAGGAAAAGAGAGGAAAGGGTAAGTCATAGCCATATCTTCCAAGTATGGAGTATGTGATTTTACAACAGCTACTTCTGTCTGTCCAAAGTTTAGGTCACAGCGTGGTTAGTGTAGTGAAAAAGAATTCTAGAGAAAAAGCAAAGTGCTCCAAGTAAAATGTATTTATTAATTAATAAATACCATACCTATAGAGAAATATTCTCTGGTCAGCAGCTCAGCTGCCCTTCCTACTTCTATTTGATGCAACCGAAGTCATTCAGATAAATAATGTATGACATAGGAAGATTTCCACTCAAATCTTAGGATCGTGTTTCATCTTCTGTGACCACTGCACATTCAGATTCGATGAATGATTAGATGAATAGTAATGTATTCACTTAAACTCTCTGCCTTGTCTTCTCTATATCTTGTTTAACAACCTAACCAGCTGTTAGTCTTCAACTTCTGTGTCACCATCTTGGCGTTAGGGTCAAATTCAAACTGTGATGAACCACTGAAGAAATAAAAAAATCCTGCAAATATAGAAGAGGGAAAAAAATGAGCTATTCTTTAAGCAAACCAGTTTTACAACATGCACAACTCAGAACTTAAGACAATTGATAATTATGGAATCACTAGGTGATTTCTTTTTGTTACACTAAGTGCTCTACATATCATATATCATATATTCTTACAAACAAATCTAATATCTTACTAATGAAGAAAAAGAAAAGTCCCAGAAAATTATGTCAGATCTCCTTCTGTGTATTTATTGCCTCTAAAAACCCACCGTGAGAACAGCTATGGGTGGTTTCCGGTTCAATGGTACACAACAACAAGAATGCTTTCTTACAAATGACCACTGCAGAAAATTGCATGCTGTGAAATAAGGCCAGGAAGAGTCCCTCGAGATGAGATAGAGGAGAAAGAGCAAAAAGATTACATTAAAGACAGCTTGTTAATATTGAACTTGAATTACTATGCTGTTTGTCATTATGTGCCGTTTATTTGCTTGCGACTCATAGCAAACCTATGTACAACATCCTGCTCTATCCTAAACCCTATCTAAACCCTGCTCTATCCTAAGCCAAACTTATTGTCTGTGACACATCTATCCCCATTACCACAGCCACCATTGAATCCATTGCAACATGAATCACATTAGGCTGTATTATATATATACTATTATATGAACTTTTATAAATGTTGATAGCTACAGAGGGGTTTCAAGCCTTTTGTTCATAGGGTTGCTATGAGTCTTGCTCTACTCGAAGGCAATCAATAACAACAATACAATATATGTAAGTACCTATCCAAGAAGCTCACAAACAACTATGTCAGTCTAAAGATGCACCTGACACAAACTTTTAAATTAATTGCTATGCATTTGAAAGTTGAACAATATATAAAGAGCACAGAAGGGAAAAAAATATGCCATTGAATTGTTCTGTTGCAGAAGAGTACTAATATCCCATGGAATGCCAAAAGAACAAATAAATGTCTTGGAGAAGGTGCAACTAGGCTACTTCTTAGAAAAAGGACACTGAAACGTCATCTTACATATTTTGGGCATGATGCTAGGAGGTACCACTCCTTGGAGAAAACCCTCATGAAAGCTGGAGGATCAGCAACAAGAGGGGAAGTCTATCTAAGACATGGATTGACATAGTGATTATGAACAATGGGTTCAACTATGGAAGATATTGTGAGGATGACACAGAACAGGGCAAAGTTCAGATCCATTGTTCATAGGGTCACTATGAGTGTTAGTTAGCTCAAAGGCACCTAACAGCTATCACATACTTGCATGGTGTGCTCAGTGGCCTTGTGAATGAGAAGTTGCACTGCCAACCCAAAGGCAAGCAGTTGGAAAACACAAGCTGCTTCAGGCAAAAAAGATGTGCAGTTTCCTCGTATGTTATTTACATCCTTTAAAACTCAGTAGAATAATGATTTGATTCTGAATCTAAGGCAATGAACAACAATATTCAAATAAGAAGAGATCTCTGAAGTAACACAAAGGTTGCACTGCGATAGCAGTTCAAATTCACCAGGAACTCCTTGAGGAAAGATGAACAAGCTGCTCCTTTGATTTACAGTCTCTTAAATCGAATGGAAAGTCAGCTATAAGTTAATTCTAACTCAACACCAATAAAAAGGTATCCAATAAAATGGCTATAGTGTAAGAGATAATTTTAAAAATTGTATATGCAGAGGTGGGAAAAAAAGGACTTAGGAGATTATACAGAAAATTCAGGGATAAATAAAATGCAAATTTAACCTATACAATTCTTGTAGAATTTGGAATATAAAGGATAAAAGTGAATGATTTAGAAATCATTTTTACTTTCTACTTCATCTTCATGCCATAAAATATTTATAAATGCCCCAATTGTCAAAAAAGCCAGATTCTGAGAGCTCTGGTGGCCTACTGGCAAGAAGCTGCACTGTAATTCTGAAGATGCACTGTTCGAATCAACCAGTTGCACCTCTGGAGAATCTCTTCCTTTGTCAGTCAGATCCAATTAGATGGTACATAATAAGAAAAGAAAAAAAGAAAGAAAGAAAAAAAAAGCCAGTATCCTCTTACCGAATTCTTGAAATACAGCATCGATCTTTGGTACAACTCCTGGAAAGTTCTCAGTTATTAGTCTGGGGAAGCCTTTATCCATGGACTGGCTATTCTCATCAAATCTGCTCCAAAATAAATACAGTTTAGTATAATGTGGAGCCCCTATTGCCTATCAGTGTAAAATAACACGAATGGTGCAGTATGAAAATACCTAGATAAACTTGTCAAGTTGTACAGAGGGCTACAGCATATTTGACTTTACATGGCTTATTAAGTTAATCATTTAAAACATTATCTTTGCTAAGACAAAAACACCCTGCTCTTCTGGAGGCTTCATGCATATATTTGAATTCAGTTTTCTAAGCCTGAATGTGTAAATCTATTTGTGACTCTTTTAGTAAAAAATATGTGAGGACTGTGTTTTAGGTGTTGCACTGGTAATCCAAATAGCAAATCTACAGGAGCAAGATAGGAAGTCTCAGAAACCTGATTGGTAGTTGTAAGTTGGAATCAACTCACTGGCAGTGGAATTAGTTTTTGGGTTTCAGTATACATACAGGAAATTAAGTAAATTAACTACATTGGCAAAAAAATAAACTTTTTGTTCTTTATCATGATGGGCTCCTGTAGATTTTGTCTCTAGAATCTTTCGTGTGGTAAGAAGCTAGCTGCATTGCAATCCCAAAGACACACAGTTCAAATTTACCAGTTGCTCTGCAGAAGAAGAATGAGTAATCTCATCCTGTGTGATTTACTGCTGCTGAAACCTGGCTGGAGGGTCAGCTATGAAATGGTTCTGACTCCGTGACAAGCAGCAACAACTGGTAGCTTAATTAGAAGAAGTTGAGCTGCCAACACAAAGTAAGTGATTTGAATCTACCAACTGTTTCATGGGAGAAAGGTGAATAATCTCTCCTGTGATTGACTGCCTTGATAAACCTGTTCGACGGTTAGTTATGGGTCAGTTCCAACTCAAATGTGCACAACAACAATAATAATGACAGCCATATAATGACTGTTACAAAGGGAAGACACAAACAAATATAAATTTGGCCTGAAGTTTGAATCTTATTTAGTGTCTTCTGATGTGTTTTAGTCCTTGGACATATAAGCATTCATGAGAACTCTACTGTATCTGGGAAGTTGAATAATTTGTTGTTTTTAGAAAATTTGAAGTTACAGGAGATTAGAAAGGATAGAATTAGGATTCTCTTAGAATAAAATAAATGCCCTATTTTGTTTGCTCCCTACAAAATCATTCCTATTTCATCTTACCTCCAGTATTTCTTTCCTACAAAAAAGTAGGTTTTACTATTTTCCTTATCAGAAAAGGCTGCATCAATTTTCTTGACAGTTGGAGGAAAGCCCAGTGTGTGGATGCTTCTTGGATAACCTGCTTCCATCTTACTTCCTTTGGTGGCCCAGAACTGATTTCCTATTGAAATATAAATCCAGAAATTTTGAATGAAGGCTTTTGGTTTCAGAAATGACTTGAATGTGTTGTTTTGGTGAAGGTGAAATCTTAGTTTTCATTTTAACCAAAAATCCAAAGTCCAGTTCATAGCAGGGCATAATAGATATGCTTTGAATTAATCAACGACTAGATCTTTATGTATTATATTTATTATCCATAAAATATAGTCATTCTTCTTACTTCCCACCCCTTCTACTGGTTGGTGATATCTTATTCTGAATTTATAATCTAGAATTCTTTCTCAAGCTTCAGTTTCATGTGTCAATTGCTTACTGGACATTCCCTCTTGAATTTGTCATTGTCACCAATTCCAATCTGTGCTGCTTCTAGATACCTGTGGAATTCACTCATGGGTCAACAAATTAGTGTCATAGTCTCTTCTCATTTTCTCTGTTTCCTCTCTTCTCCCCAAGTCTTATGAGGTATCATTGTATTAATTCTTTCTTTAAAGCTCTGGCCAACTAAAATGCTAATTTATTGTATATTTCTCTTGTTGTGACTGCACTTGATAACTTACACTAATCTGAGCAGTTCCATAGAAATTCTTACTTTTGCAAGAGTGTTACTTTTTGTAATGAGTTCCTTTTATCTTGAAGAATGTTCCACTTTCTGCAGGCCTTCATATAGCTGCATAGGAAAGTGCCTCTCTTTCAAGATTCATCCTCAACATAATCTCTTCCTCTTTTGAGGAATCTCTGCTCAATCTCTGATCCCCTTAGCTTTCCATGGACCTTAGCTTCACTCAATCTCATCCTTACTAACCAAAAAGCTATGTATCTCCAGAGTTTATGCCACCAGAAGCTCTATGAGAGAAAGATGATCAGTCTCTTCCATTAAGCTTTATAAGCTCAGAAACCCAATGGAAGTTTACTTTCAATTGAAATTTTTACAACAACAGGAAGTTAGTGCTGATAGTGTCCTCTGCTTCCTCTCTAGCATATGAGCCCTTTTAGTTATGATGTCTGTTGACAATCACAGCACCTGACACACCACAAGAACCCCCAAAACAAACAAACAAACAGACAAATAAACAAAACTAATGGACAGTAGCAATAATTTATAGTGGTATGATCATGAAATTTCATATTCCTTTATTTAATCTTTATACAAATGAAATTAAGTCATAATTATTAGATTTAATAAGATTATAAGATTTGAATTCTTGTAGAATTGGGCATTTTAACACTCTTCAAGTAACTTATGATTCAGTACATAATAAAATAGAAATCTTTTTCAATTCAAGCTTGAATAATTAACATATTGCATATCAAAACTTGCAGTCTTGAAAGTAAGGCAATAATTGGGAAGAAAGGAGTATTTATAAGCTTAAATGTTCGAATTAAAAATGATCAGGCTTATTTGTCTAATAGAGACTGAAAGAATCCCAAAATTTATAGACCTTAGTCACCCTGGAACCTGGCTCAATGTGCTGCCAAATGATAGGCAGACTTACAAGATAAACAATATCACCAGGAAGGCACTCAGAATAATCAACCACATCAGAGAAAAATAGCAAGAGTCACCCAGAAATAAAGTTCAGAAAGAGGTAGGATAGGATTAATGGAAATCACAAGGAGGAAGTGAGAAGAGTGTGGTTATTTGATGAGTATTCTAATTAATGGATAAACCAAAGGATTTGTGAAAGGGAATTAAAAACTAATTGACTTGTTTAAAATTTTTACTTAATTCACAAGTAAATGGATAAATAAATAATAAAATGTCTATTTTTCTTCCTTAAAAAGAAAAAAATAATAATAAAAAGAAGAAAAGGTGCAAGTTAATGAGGTCAATATCAAACTTATGAAGGCTGTAATAAATACAGAAATAAAAACAAAATTAAATGAAAAGTGAAACTACAACAAAACCAAAAGTGAATTATTTAAGAAAGCTACAAAATTACAAAACATTTTATTAAAGAAATAATGCTTATTAGTCAACTTCAATGTCCCTGCACTAATACTGAGGAGCTCTGGTGGTGCTTTGGTTAAAGTTTTATGCTGCTAACTGAAAGATTTGTGGTTCAAACTCACCAGTAGCTTCTCAAGAGAAAGATGTGTCAATTTGTTTACATCAAGATGGCAGCTTTGGAAATCCTATAAGGTAGTTTTACTTCATCATATGGGGTCAATATGAGTAGAATCAACTCCATAACAATGGGATTTTGTTTGCTATACCATATATTGTGGAAGGAGGAGTGGCATCCACTTCCGTCATAGCTTCCCTCTGGAAACCCTATGAACCTGGAGAGAGGATGAAAGGCACCCAAGCGTCGAGGACTCTCCTTCATAGGGTTGCTATGAGTCGCCTTTGAGTCGATGGCACTTAACAACAACAACAACATACTACATATTATTAACTATTAAAGCTTTCCAATGCCTTCACATGTAAGCCTCAAAGAAAAGCTTCATTTCTGTGCAGCACAACTTCTGATCAATTAGGCCACAAGAGCTCTTAGTTTTTTCTTCTTATCCTTATTTGATCTACCTGTTATTTCGAAATATAGGGGAAAAAATGAATTTATTTGTCATTTCAGGAAAAATATTTTTATATTTTCGTTGACATTGCCTTGTATACACAGATAAATTACTATTTTTTTCTTACATTGAGGCTTTTCTATCTATGATTTCTCCTCTCTGTCATTTAGGTCTCATTGAATATATTTAAATAAAGCATATAATGTCCTATGTACACATTTAAGTATAGATAATTTAGTAAAAGACAAATTCATAAAACATTTAACATAATGAAGCAAATTCAAAACCTGGTGAAATCTTTGCAATGGTATTTCTTTCAAAAACTTGGAAATTCTTCTATAATATTCACCTTTAAATACAAAGACTGTATCCTTGCTATTCACTTCATATGCAGCATCCAACTCTGATGGAAGAGAGGGCCAAAATGCCGAAATTAAAACAATTTGAGGTTTCTGATCCAAGCGGATTTTGCGCCAAAAATACCTGTAATGTGTAAAAATGAAACGTAGATGTTATCCTCCTTTAGAGAATTGTGAGGTGGGGAGTTGAACATATTATTTTGCTCATCACTTTTCTTAAGACTTCATTGGATTCCAGGTCTATGAAATCTATGACAAGAACTGTTTTGCTTTTTTTGTTTTTTATTTTTATTTTATTATTTGTGTGTGTGTGTACCATCAAATTGGATCTTACTGGTACAGGAGGAGATTGTCCCTCTTCCTCCAGCACAGCATCTGATGGATTTGAACTGTATACCTCTGGGACTGCAGTGCAGCTTCTTGCCACTAGGCCACCAGAGCTACCTGACAAGAGCTGTTTTAACAATACAGTTATTTAGTTTGTTTTCTGTTATAATGCTTGTATCATTATGCATATGATGCACTCATTCCTACATTGTGAAAAAGGAGCAGAAAAAACTAAACCTATTTATATTTGTATGTGGATTAAACATCATTGGAAAAGTACAAAGAATATTGGTAGCTGTGGTTGCTTAAATGGTAGACAGGGAGAACAGATCAGAGATGGTAAGAGATTTACTTTTAAGCATTTATTCTTGGCTTCCATTTCTATATTTTGCTATAAGCATATATCAATTTTTCCCCAAAAATGAATTCACTTACATAGCTGAATTTGTTGGGGAGCTCTGGTAGCCTAGAAGTAAGAAGCTATGCTAAAATCCCAAAGGTAGGCGATTTCAATCCATCAGATGCTCCAAGGAAGAAAGATGGACAATCTCCTGCCATGCAATTTACTGCCTCTGAAAACCTACTGGAGGGTCAGCTATGGGTTAGTTCCATTTCAAGGGCATGCCACAACAACAAACAGTTAAATTTGTTACTAAGGTGAATCGATGACTCATATTCTTAAGAGATAGCATGGCTTTTTAAAATAAACTTATCATTAATTACACATAAAATAACAATTATTCATTTGCTCAAAATATCTTTTGCATATGCTAGGCCTCTAACAGGATTTGGGAATATAAAATTTAACCAAACAGATAATAATTCCCATCTTTATGAAGTTCACATTGCATTGACCAAGAATCATACTTGAGAAAAAAAGATCTAAATAATTTTAAGATGTTAAAGATGCAACGAGAACTAGGTCTGAATAATTTAAACATTTGGAGGAAACATTTAATTTAATTACATTAATATATGGGTAAAGCTTCTAATGTTGCTTTTCTTACAAAAATCATAGGTATAAAGAATAAACATAAAATCAAGTAAACTCATTTCTATCAAGTCAGAACCAACTATAGCTAACTGTCCATTGAGTTTTCAAGGCTATCAACTGCATAAGAGGAAATTTCCTATCTTTCTATCCAGAAGCCATTGGTGGATTCAAACTCCTAGAGAACCATGGTCTTTGGGTTATTGGCACAACTTATACAGAATAAATAGACAGGAAAGCCCACATTTCCAGTCTCACCTGTCTTTAAAGAAGAGAGTTTCCCCTCTCAGAGTACTGACTGCATCAAAGGACAATTCAGGGTCGCACATGTCTGGCTTCTTAGATTTTGGAGGAATGGGTTCTGTAGGCACCATGGTTATATCAGAGAAGGAAGGTGGAGGTCCTAAAGAGAGAGATGCAGAAACACAAACCTTAGAAGAAACATGATGTTTTGTCAATTGATAAGTTTTTCAAACATTCTCAAAGTGCTTGAGTTGAAATCTCATGTAGCATTTCAAGTTTCTAAACGACCACCATGGTAATGTTTCCCTGTAACATTGCATGCTTTATTTTTCAAGTATCACTCACCATAGAGGGATTGAATGCTATTCACATCATCTTGAGAAAGGTGGAAGTGGGTTAGGTCTGTGGGTTCCTTGTAGAGTGAGTACATCAAAGCATCAGGGTTGTTCGAATGAAAGAGACCCAGGGAATGGCCAACTTCATGAGCAGCCACAAGGTATAGATTGGTTCCTGTGTGAAAAATCATAAACATGCAGCTATTTAGCTTGTAAATGCACAGATAAAATGCATGCCAGCTATACAGGCCACTCTTGGAATTACACAGTGGCTTCCTACCTATGAATTATTCACTGATTAGCATATAATCATAGAGCATGTTGCCAGAAGAGACCAGTTCTTGGAGAAGGACATCGTGCTTGGAAGGGTAGAGGAAAAGGCAGGACAGCAAGACCCTGGATAAGATGGAGTGAACAGTGATTGGGGTAATGGAAGTAGGTGTATCAGAGACAGTGTGACGGGCTCAGAATAGAATGGGGTTTGGAGCTATTGTACATAGGGTTGCTCAATGGTTCATAACAACAGTAAATCTGTTTGGGTGGCTTTGAATCTATTTGAACCAGTGTAAACTGGTTTTATTCATTTCAAATTGGTTTGAAACAGCTTTGACTGGATTAAATTGATTTAGACTATTTTGACTCAATTTTAACTAACATGAACTGGTTTGATCAACTTGGAATGGTTTGATTTAGTTTGGACCGGTTTAAACTGGTGTGATTCAGCTTGAACAGTTGGTTTGGCAGCCTATTGTTTAAAACAATTAGAACCTGTGTGTTTAACAATTGGTTGGGGTCAGGAGTCTCTTATTTAAAGTAATTAGGACCCTAAAGGTAAGCCTGTGGAATTAACAATCCATTGCGGCCCAGAGGCCTCTTGTTTGAAGCAATTATGACTTGGAAGGTAGGACAAAAAAATAATTTTTTAAAGTATTTAATATTCTGACCTCTCACATAATTTGGGCATGTTGCCAGGAGGGAGCAATCCTTGGAGAAAGACATTGTGCTTGGAAGGTTAGAGGATCAGTGCAGGAAAAGAAGACTCTGGGTAAAAGGGATTGACACAGTGACTATGGCAATGGGGTCAGGTGAATTAGAGATGGTGAGGTTGGCTTAGGATAGAATAAGATTCAGAGCCGTTATTCATAGGGTCGCTATGAGTTGTAGTCAACTCGACTGACTTGCACATAACAACAAAATATTTATGAATATAAAGCATCTTAAGCTAGAGATAGTGACTTTGTTATTAAAATAAAATTGAACAGTGCATAATGTGCTTGAAAGAATATATAGGAAAGAAAATAAATGCAGACACTTTATCAAATTCTGTTCTAGGTTATTGGAACAAAGTGTTTCTGGGGACCACTCAATCACAAATTTCAGTTAATTAAGACTCCTTTACGACTCATTTTAGACATTTAAATTCTTTCTAGACATAGCTGAGGATTCTTTCTAAAATAACCCAAGAGATTTATGACTCACCTAAATAATCCTCTGTCCATTGTTCATCATCATCAAAATGAATATCTCCATTTATTCCTGGCCCAGGCGGATAGGCATGAGCCAGAGAAAATCCAGGTCCATCAAAAGGATAAAAGTCTTTATGATCTAACAGGGGAAAATTTTTTTATTGGAAAGATGAGTAATTGGAATTTATGGTATTATCTAATAAAATATCATCAGATGTATGTATGTGCACATTTTTAAATTAGTTTTGACTTTTATATTTTTTTTCTACCTCTAACTGCAAAAGAGATCATTATGTCAGCCTCCCCTTCATAAATCCTGGAAAATGTGAGAGGTGTCACCTCCTCCCAGAGTTTCAGAGCTCTCACAATGGCAGAATCAGTAGCATATTTTGACATATCCATCGTATAGTTCACAATTCTGTAAAAGAAAAATATTCAGCATTTTCTTTTATGATAGTAACTTAACAAAATTTTTATCTTATGTGAAAGCTTCCTTGGAGTCATTACCTGTAAGTAAGATGAGTTTTCCTCCACTTGGGTGAACCAGGAAAGGTAGTGAAGTGACCAACATCAGGTACTCCACACCTGGGCTTGTGCATCACCTCCAGGGTGGCAGAGTCCAACTTTCCTGTCACCTTCAATCCAAGGAACCTCTGCATTTCTTGGATTTGATTAACCACTGGGCTCCCGTCATTTCTTCTCACAAAATTTTTCATTTCTATTCCAAAATTATAGTAATTTTCTAGGTATTTCTAATAGAATAAAATGCATACATTGAAGGTAATTTTTATAACTGCCTATACTGGTTCCAATTTCACATTATGCTTTAATAATTTTCTAGATGAAACAAAAGTAAATTGTATGCTTAATTTGATTTTTCATTAAGACTTCTGGTTTCATTATTTTGTTTTTATGATACTGTGATTGTTGTTAGGTGAAATCAAGTCAACTCATACCAACCCTATGAACAACAGATCATAACCTTTCCCTATCCTGTGCTTCTATCTTATTTTGGAACTAATCATTAAATTTCATTACAATTAAAATCATTACATTTCATTATCATTGTTGTTGTTATGTGCTATTGAGTCACCTGAGATTCATAGTGACCCTATGTACAACAGCCCTAAACCCTGCTCTACCCCTTGCCAACCTTGTTGTCTCTGACATGCCTATCCCCATTACCCAGTGATGGAATCAATCCATCTCATCAAAGGTCTTCCTCTCTTGCACTGTCCCTCAATCTTCCCAAGCATGATGTCTCTCTCCAAGGACTGATTGCTCCTTGCACCATGTCTAAAGTATGTCAGATAAAGCTTCAGAATCCTTGCCTCCCAGGAGCATCCTGGTCTCACCCTCTCTAGAATGAACCCTCTCTAGAATGTTCTCCTAGCAGTCTCTGAAATAATACTCTTCTCCAGCACCACAGTTCAAAGGCATTTTCATTAGAATCATTATATTTTAAAACAATCATTAAATTTCATTACCATTTAGATTGACATTGTTAAAGAAGAACATAATTGCAATTTAATGTATCAAACTCTTTATAGGGAGGTCTAGTGGCCTAGTGGTAAGAATCTGTGCTGCAGTCCTGAAAGCATGCAGTTCTAATCTTCTAGTTGTTCCATGAGAGAAGGATGGAGGATCTCCTTTCGTGAAATTACTGCCTCTGAAAACCTGCTTTAGGGTAAGTCACGTGCTGGTTCTGACTCAATGTTACTCAACAACACAACAAGAACTCTTTATGTTTGAATTTAGAATTACAGACTTAGTCAAGAACACATAGGAAAAATTCTGTTTCCCAAACATAACAAGTAATAATATACACATTATTATTTTATATCATGGGAAAATAAAAATGAATATGATCCTCAATCACTGTGATTATTTTAACTGAAGAAATTCTAAAACCAGATAAGTCATAAACTTGCCATTTATTCTTTTTTATTAAATTACAAAGATATCTCTACTATTTTACAATCATTTTGAGTAATTTTATCTTCTTCCTGAAATTTTTTTCATTCTCTGTTAATAAAAGAACCTTTTACTTCTAATACTTCAATATTCTGTGTGACTAAGTTATCCCAACAAAGAAATTTCTAACCTCAAACCATTCTTCTTTGTGCTGGAAAATCAAATAAACATATCTATTTCTCCACTTGAGATCATCATAGCTAATATAAATAGTTACCTGTGCAAAATTTAGGTTTGAATCTTTCTTCATTGTCTTGTCTAGTGGGTAAGCCAAGCAAACTGGCAGACACAGTAGCACAAAGATGATAAGATACTTCATTCTCACTGTCTTCATTCAAAGAAGCCACCTTCTCTGTCTATAGCCTTTTTCTTCTCTGCTTTCTATAGACTGGACTTAAATAAAGTAACAATGCTTAGATCATGATGTGTGTTTGATGACTCATGTATGTATGTATGTGTGTGAGAGAGAGTGTGTGTGTGTATGCAGGTTTTTAAAATCTGACTCACATCATGAATATTCACCAATATTCAATGTGAAAATGATGCAAATTTAATTAGTAATTTCCGTTGACCTCAATTTGCACAAGAGAACCTCTAGGAAATGGCTTTCATATTTACAAAGAGGTCAAGATAATTCATGCTTGTATGTTTATTGAGAGGAAGTTGACAAGTGGAGTAAGAGGTCAAAAAAAGTTCAGACCTTTTGTAGAATGGAAGAAAAAGGGAGAACCAGGAACAGAATGTGTGGCTCTTTTCCTCCACCAACAACTGTCTCTTTGCCATGAGATCAGAACTGCCTTGGGCCCAACTGTTATCACTGAACATTTTGATCTAAGGTTCCAAAGAATCCTGATCCAAAAAGGGTAAATGCACAAATAATTTAAAATTCTCATGGAATCTAATTTTTCTAGTCATGGAGGGTGAATGCTGAACTAAATTTACTATATGTGAAATATGTAATTTCAAGTGATTGGAGACTGAATATAAGCATGCAGGAATGTTCCTCACTACCACGCACTCCCTTCACACCACCTGAAGTTGACTTGTTAGAACATTGTCTTCAGGAACTTGGAGGCTCCTTTTTAGTCACTTCTTATGCATCTGATAGTTGGGCAAGGACTAAAAATGACAAAATAAGAATCAATAACTTTGAACTATGATGTTCAGAAGAGTATTGAATGGCAAAAGAACAAACAAGTCTGTCTTTAAGGCACTGCAGCCAGGATTCTTCTTAGGGACAAGGACAAGGAAATGTTGTCAATGGGGCCAAGTCTTTGGAAAAAGACATGATAATGAGAGAATTGGAGGATCAGAGAAAGAGAGGGAGGCCCTGAAGAAGATGAATTGACACAGTGACGAGAAACATGGGCTTGAGCATATGGTGATAATGACACAAGATATGGAAAGGTTCAGATCCATTGAACATAGGTTTTCTGTGAATTATAGTTGACTTGATGGTATTAACAACAACAACACCCTATGTCAGAACTCACTGATCAGTGTTTTCTGTGGCCAGGGCTTGGAAGAGAAGGGAAGTTAGTCTGAAAATCAGAGAGTTGGAGAATTGAAATCAGACTCAGGGTCATTTGAATGACTTTAATGAATATATAATATCTGAAATTCATTCATTTCCATAATCTGTAGAAATGAATGTATATAAATTCATTCAGTAGGGAGTTCAGGAGGCATATTTCTTATGGAGTCGTGTTGATAACTTAAAGACAACACTTCTCTAACTATTAGAATTTCTGACTCAGCAGTAGAAAGAAGATGCAATCTTCTCTTATGAGATTTACAACCTCTGAAAACACACTGGAGAGTCAGCTATCAGTTGTTTCTGACTCAACAACAATCAAAGAGAGACAATTATTCCTCAGTAAGAGGGCTATCAGGATTATGTAATTTATTCTTTTCTTAGTTAATATTCTATAAGTGTTGTTGTTGTTGTGTGCCGCCGTAGAGTCGCTTACAACTCATAGCAACCCTCTGTACAATAGCCCTAAACTCCTCTCTGTCCTGGGCCAATCACACCATCTCAACTACACCCATCTCAATTGCCGCAGTCACTGAATCAATCCATCTCATAGAGTGCCTTCCCCTCCTGCGCTGTCCCTCCACCCTCCCAAGAATGATGTCCCTCTCCAAGGACCTGTCCCTCCTTACAACATGTCCAAAGTATGTTAGATGGAGCCTCAGAATCCTTGCTTCCAAGGAGCAGCCCGGTTTGACCCTTTCCAAGATGAATCTGTTTGTTTTCCTAGCAGTCCATGGTACCCTCAATACTCTTCTCCCGCACCACAGCTCAAAGGCAACAATTCTCCTTCTATCCTCCTTAGTCATTGTCCAGCTCTCTGATGCATAACAAGTGATTGTAAAGACCATGGGCTGTATCAGATGAGAGACACCATTGAGCTTCAGTACTTTGGAGAGGTCCCTAACAGCAGACTTTCCCATCGCAATACGTCTTTTAATTTCCTGGCTACTGGTGCCGAGAGTGTTGACTGTGGAGCCAAGCAAACTACAGCTGTGAACAATCTCAATCTCTTCATCATCCATCCTGATTCTGCCAATTGGCCCAGTGGTGAGAGTATTTGTCTTCTTGATATTGAACCTCAATCCATATTGGAGGCTGCAGTCCTTGACTTTCTGCAGCAAGCGCTTCAGGTCCTTCTCAGTTTCAGCAAGCAGGGTTGTGTCATCTGCATATCACAGATTGTGGATAGATCTTCCACCAATCTTGACCCCACATTCCTTCTCATAGAGCCCAGCCTCCCAGATAATCTGTTCCACATACAGGTTGAAAAAGGTATGGAGACAGGACACGTTCCAGTCGCATGCCCTTCCCAATTTTGAACCATGCAGTGTTACCTTGTTCTGTTCTGACAACTGCCTCTTGGTCCAAGTATAGGTTTCTCATTAGCACAATCAAGTGTTCTGGGATTCCCATTCTTCTGAAAGTCAGCCACGGTTTGTTATAATCCACACAGTCAAACACATTTCCATAGTCAATGAAACACAGATAGACATTCCTCTGGTATTCCCTGCTTTCAGCCAAGATCCATCTAACATTAGCTACAATATCCCTAGTACCACGACCCCTTCTAAACCCAGCCTGGACTTCTGGCAGTTCTCTGCTGATGTGTTGTTCCAGTCGTTTTTGGATAATCCTCAGTAGAATCTTGCTTGCATGTTAAATTAATGAGATTGTTCTATAGTTTCCACACTCTGTTGGGTCACCCTTTTTTGGAATGTGAACAAATATAGATCTCTTCCAGTCAGTTGGCCAAGTGGTTGTTCTCCAGATTTCTTGTCACAACTTGGTGAGCACATCCAGGACAGCATCTGTTAGCTGAAATATGTCAATTGGTATACTATCTATTCCTGGAGCCTTATTTTTTGCTATTCAAAGCAGCTTGAAATTCTTCCTTCATCACCATAGGCTCTTGCTCATATTTTGTTTCATGAAATTCTTCTGTGTCTGCCAATTCCTTTCCATACAGTGACTCAGTGTATTCTTTCCATCTTTTTTTTTTCTTTCCATCTTCTTTTAATACTTTCTGGATCATTTAATATTCTTCCTAAAGCATCCTTGATTACAGCAACTCGAGATTTTAATTTCTTCCTCAGTTCCTTGAGCTTAATAAATTCTGAGTGAGTTCGCCCCTTTTGATTTTCTGACTCCAACTCCTTGCACATTTCATTGTAATATTTTACTTTGTCATCGCGTGTTGCCTTTTGAAATCTTCTATTCAATTCTTTGGTATCTTGAGTTCTTCCTTGTGCTTTGGCTCCTCAGCGCTCCAGTTCAATTTTCAGTCTCTTCTGACATCCATTTTGGTCTTCGCTTCCTCTTCTGTCTTTGCAATGACCGTTTGCACTCTTCTTGGGTGATACCCTTGATATCCTCCCACAACTCTTCAAGTCTTCCCTCATTAGTGTTCAAGGCCTCAAACCTGTTCCTTAGATGGTTCTGAAATTCAGGTGGGATAGACTCAAAGTCATATTTTGATTCCTGTGGACTTGGTTTAATTTTCCTCAGTGTCAGCTTGAACTTGCATATGAGTAGTTGGTGGTCTGTTCCACAATCAGCTCCTGGCCTAGTTTTCAAAGCTGATATTGAGCTTCTTCAGCGGTTCTTTCCGCAGATGTAATCAGTCTGATTCCTATGCTACCATCAGGTGAAATCCATGATATATCATGCATTTATATCTCTTAAAAATATATTTGAAATGAATAAGTCATTGATCTGTGTTAGTCCTGTTTTTTCCATGTATATTTTATTTTTTTGCTTGCTTTCTTTCATGGTTTTTTAGAAAAGATTTGAAAGATTTCACTCAATATATAACATAGGTGTAATAGACAGTTGTATACTAAAGTGGGACAATGGAATTAATTTATGATAGAAGTAATGAGGAAGATTATTAGTCCATGTTGTTGTTGTTGTTATGTGCTGTCGAGTCATCTGCAACTTATAGGGACCCTATGTACAACAGCCCTAAACCCTGCTCTATCCTTAGCCAATCTTATTATCACTGACACACCTACTGAAGTTACTCAAGTCACTGAATCAATTCATCTCATTGAGAGTCTTATTCTCTTGTGCTATCCCTCCATCAAGAATGACACCCCTCTCCAAGAATTAATCCCTTCTTGCAACATGTCTAAAGTATGAGAGATGAAGCTTCAGAATCCTTGCCTCCAAAGAGTAGCCTGGTCTCATCATTTCCAGGATGAACCTGCTTGTTCTCCTAGCAGTCCACGGTATATTCAATATTCTTCTCCAGCATCACAGCTCAAAGACATCAATTCTCCTTTTAAAACAACAAAGCATTAGTTCAGAGAGAATTGAAAACAATATTAAGATAAAGTAAAATGTGGTATACTTCTGTTTATTAGGTTTTCCATCATGCAGTTGTAGTTCTAAAGAATGTGAATAATAAATATTCCTCCGTAAAAAAGACAGTTTTTGTTAGTCTAAGTTTCAACCACCTATTATGAACTAATATCCACCTAAAATATTTAACCACCTCATATCCCTTATCACATATTAATTCAACTGCATATAATTGTTTAGAAAGAAAGTAATCTAAAGTTCCTATTAGTTTAATTTCAATTTAGCGTAGTTTTAAAATCACCAATCCAGTCCTCTATTTCACTATTTAAAAATTTTAAACTCCCAAACACAAAATGATCACTAGAATAACAGAATACAACTCAGACTAATATTTTTTGTTTTTCTAATTATTGTATATCTCCATTTGTTTCAAACTTTCCCTTTTATTTAACTTTATTTGTGACTTCAGCAGAAGTTTAAGGATA